GATCTTCTTTCTTCTCTTCTCTTCTCTTCTCTTCTCGTCTCGTCTCTTCTCTTCTCTTCTCTTCTCAAACTCTCCTATAGGTTTCCTATCTTCATCTCAAAGTGACAACTGACGTCATGGCACTCCTCACGCTGCACTCTTTTTCACCTTCCGCCTCACAGTCTCTCTGTTCACCTGCTATCCTCAGGTTTGCCTTCGATCGGTCACAGTGTGACATGCGCACAGCCCCAGACCAGGTGTGCCTGGTCACCCCAGGCTGGAACCTGCTTTTGCAGGTATCACACATCACCTATTAAGGAAGGATGTGTACCGTTCTGGTCGCCCCAGGAGAGTATCCCCTAAAAGAGGCTATGCGCTCGCCTGCCTAGCAGGCACCCTCTCCTAGGCAGGCTTCTCCACGGGAGGCCGGCTCTTAGGGTTGGGTGGGAGGGGAAAGAAAGCAATGAATGCTATGGCTATTAATGCTATTTTGATTCAACTCCAACTTGCGCCAAAATGATAGCATTCATTGGTTCACTTAAGGATGACACATGCACACCCAAAGCCTGCCAAGATCAATGCATGAATACATCTCAAAGTGACAACTGACTTCGTAGCACTCCTCACGCTGCACTCTTTTTCACCTTCCGCCTAACAGTCTCTCTGTTCACCTGCTATGCTCGGGTTTGCCTTGGATCGGTCACAGTGTGACATGCGCATAGCCCCAGACCAGTGTCCACTTCTGGTCAGGGCTGCCTAGTCACCCCAGGCTGGAACCTGCTTTTGCAGGTATCACCCAACGCACCATACCCAAGGCACTAGAGGAATTCAAAGGTGGGGATGACTGCAGCGAAAGGCAGATGGAAAAAGATGGTGGGGAGGTACGAGGAATGAAAGCTGAATCCATGGCAGCGCCACATGGGTCATCATGGGTCATCAAAACCTAATCTACCGATATCGTCGGCCCAATTGCTCTTGCTCTAAACGCATTCCCAATAACCCTGGGCGCGAGCGCGGAAGGCACACAGGGCTGGATGAATCAGATGACCGAGCTTTGCTAGGCCGGGATTGCTGGAACGCCCCCTCACTAACGCTATCGCTGCTGCCAAGTTGTCCAGAAACCAAAGACTTTGAGGACTGCGAAAAAGGTCAGGTCGCTCAATGCAGGGCATACAATACCATCGAAAGTTCGAGCTGGGCAATGTGGATCTTCGCCGGTTGCCAGCGGGCTTGAAGTTCAGAACAATTTGTAGCATTGTAGCAACCAAACTGAGACGAATCTGCGACCCGTCAGGTTGGAAAAAGATAAGGTTGAAACCACCTGAGCCAGGATTGTCAGCTTCGACAGCAGCATCAGATGCTGCCAAAGATCGAGTCTGCTGCAATGGGAAAACTGCAAATTCACTTTTGGGCTCAAAGCGCATGACTGCTTCGATCACCTCGAAGCATTCTTCGATCTCTGGTGCCATAGCCGTCGTCTTCTCGTCTTGTCGAGCTTTAATGGCCATGAGGCCACCGTAGCCCACTCGGCCGTAAATACCTTGTTCGAGGAAGTTGGCAATGCCGTAGAATTTGGAAGCTACCGCGAGTGAACTTGCCAGGTGCAAGGGCGTTGTAGATGATCTCTTTGACCTTGTCATGGAACCTAGCTCGAGCCCAAAATTTGACATGGCCAGTGCGATTGATGTCAGCCAGGTTGTGGTTAAGGCACAGGAACGTCCCTGAGTCCTGCATCATTTGTTTCTTGTCGGCCGCAAACGGGGATCCAATCATAGCGCACAGTTGATTCACGGCCCACTGCCCAGAACCTCTGGGTGATTTGAAGTCAGTGATGGTGGCATCGTCGAAATAGAGCGAGACCAATACCCGGCATTGCCTTCTGGATAGTGCTTCCGCCAATCTAGAAAATCGGTGAAAGGAAGTCACCGAAAGGGGTAATCCAAAAAGCATGCCCGAGTATACTTGGTATGCTGGCTCTTGCCACTCACCATGAAACCAATCCACCACACAGCCTAAGCTCTCTTGCATGGAGGGCCGTCGGGCAGTAGATAAGTCTTCTTGGCCTGTCTACCAGGCGTCGTGCTGGCAGAATTCCTGGATCTCGTCGTTGGACCACTGGTGCATCACTATAGGCTGATGTGTTGTGCTGGTCTTTGCGGACTGCATGACGTCAGTTTATCGGTATCGGACGATCGCCCTGACTGTCCGCCAGTGTCGCCGTTATCAATCACACGCTGTTTGCCAGAGCTCTGGGTGATCACACGCCTTTGGAATCAGCCTATGAGCTTGTCCCGTGATGTAGGACAGGAAGTCTGCATGGCATAGTGGGTACGTGCAAAACCCGCTGGCGGCCTCCTCCAAGGATTGCTGCAGCAAGAAGGCATCGTCCTTGCGTGGTTTCAGTTGGTTGACGGTTGAGAATCTTCTGGTTGTGTTCTTCCCAACCGTCTAGTGCTTCGGGCAGTGTGATGCGTTTGCTGGTTGCTGCGGGAAAATGCCATAAGGTGGGGCAAACCCCACTGCAGGGAATCCTTTCACTAAGTTATAGGGGAAGCCAGTATCAGCCCATGACGTCAAGATGAGGAGAACTGCAATGAACCCGGCGGCTGCACGGTGGGTCATGGCTCCTACCTGTCGAGCCATTTGCCTGCTAGCTCTTCAGGGGTGACAAGCGGCCCATCCCAAGCTTCGCCTTTCTCAGCCAACCAGGCTGGGTAAGAGCTGAATGGGGGGCTGTTGATGAAGTCTTCCACCATGACGAACTTGAAATTACTGAACCAGGTTGCAAGGGAAAGTTTTCAGAACGCCAGCACCAATGCCTCTTGGCTCATCACAGGGACATGCCCCAAGGGATGGCTTGGATCCCTTGCAATAGCGCCACTGAGCGAGACCACTTGCCGTCGCTGCCTCTTCGCTCTGGTTGGGCTTTTGGGCGTGGCATCAAAGTAGAGGCCGATGAGGAGGTCCGCCTCGGATATGTGCTGCATGTGCTTCATGGGACAGTCGCAAGCAAGGGCCTTTGGGTTGTCCAACTCTTCCTATGGGATCGCCTCGCACGAGAGCTGGTCTGTCAGCATCGAAGCGGCTCCCACACCACAGACTTAATGTTGATGGAGGCTGCGTACTTCGCTGAAGAGTAATTTTGTAATGGAGTGACCCACATCTGGCTGGCCTCCTTTGTTCTGCCAGTCGCCAAGGGCCGCTAGCTCCTCTGGCCTGCTTTCCAAAAGCTGTGCCAGCGTAGGTACCATTCTCCTCCAGGAATATGTCGTCACTTCTTCTGGATTGTCAAGGAGGACGGCCATCTCGCTCTGCATTGTCCCCTGCACTTCCAAGATGGTTCAAGGACGACCTTCGTCGGAGAAGCACAGCCAGACACCCGCTGCCTAGCCGGGGCTGATGTCCGATGGGCTTCAATGACCTCTTTGGCCCGAGAGGAGCCTCCTGAAAAGCAAGCGGGACGGCATAGTCAAAGCCATCTCTGGCGTGCATGCTTCCCTTCCTGGCAGCGGCAATGCAAGAAGGCTGCCATCAACCTCCTCGGCTCCGATCGAGTGATGCGCGTGTAGCGCAAGCACCCGAAGGCCATCATCCAGGAGGCTAACAACACTGTCCAGCGCTCACCTCCGACTGCATGGGCCGGTCCCCCAAGCTTTGATGAGGGGAGGCTCCACTACCGGAGCCTGGGAACGATGTCAGTCGCCCTGGGTTTGGTCGGCACCTGTAAATTGCTCAGGTCCATCTCCTGGTTGGCATTCTTGTTCACCACTTGAAAGCTGGGAATGCCCGAGCTGGAGCGTTGGTGTGCAAGAACTGATCCAAGTCCACCACTTCCGGAGGTGCTGGCCGCCCCCGACTCTCCAACAAGGAGCTCAACTCCAGCCACGTGTTCACCATCCTGTCGATAGTGGCTTTCTCGGCATCTTGGACCTTTTTCTCAGCGATCCTCCTGCATGTCTGCTTCCATGGAACGCAATGCATCAGTCATCCCTACCCCTATAGAGGGGGAGGGCGGGGGGGGGGGCAAAACCAAGCTGTCGAATTCCATTTTTTTTTGCTTGGAAACCTTCGGACAGTGATCCAACCCCTCAAATGGAATTGTAAAGTGGCATTTCTTAACAAGCCTTGGGCACTGGTTAGAAAATACTTGCGCTTAGCTCCGGAGGAGCTAAGCGCTAAGCGCAAGTACGATGACGGCGGCGCAATTTTTGGAGGGATGCAATCCCTATATACATATGTGCTGCTTCAGTCTGACATGTGCTTAGCTCCTCCGGAGCTAAGCGCAAGTATTTAATTTTCATCTGCTTGCCAATGACATGGAATGATGCGGATATTGATCATTGAGAAAGCATGATTGCAAAAATGAAATTTTAAAATGAAATTTCAATATGACTCCCCCCCCCTCAAATTCTATTTTTAAGAGGGTAGGGATCATCAGTCAAGATGCCTGCTGGCTTGTACGAGCCCATGCCTTGGAACATTGAGACCAGGAATCCATAGTCCTGGAAGGCCGTGGTTCAAATTCGCCAGGCCTCAATACATCTCTTGAGGGACCAAGTCAGAGGCCAGCACCGGAGCCCCATAGGCTGCCAAAAGAAGGAGGTCCATCTCCTGGTGCTCGTACTAGTACGTCCAAGCATCCCCAAGGTGCACATCGGGCGGAATGAACGCCACGGCTGCTCCACAGCCCCAACCAGGGGAACTTGAACGCTCCAAGGTGAGCTGCGCAACGCTGGCAGGGCATCTTGACCAAGGGGGGAAACAGTCCCAATTCAGTGGTGGTGGGAATGACACACGTGTATGCAGCCAGGTTATGGCCCTCCCTTGCCAGCCTCTTCACATGCTGCTTGAACGCTGCTGCGCGGAGGATGTTGGCCTCAGTGGCAACAGGGACGTCAATGCCCGGGTGTTTTCACAGCATACGAGGTCACCCCTCGGTACCCACCAGGTCACCCCTGGAAGTACCTAGGTCTAGAAAGGTCACCCCTCCCAAGACCTAGAAAGAATGCAATGAATGCTATTTTGGTTTAACTGCAACTTGAGCCAAAATGGTGGCATTCATTGGCTCACTTGACACATGCACACCCAAAGCCTGCCAAGCTCAATGCATGAATATGAAACTTCCGCCACCGCCTTGTGCGGCACTACTGGTAAAGTAGTACTCTGAAATGGAACTTTATAATGGTGAGGTTGTTATCGCCTTCAGATTTCCTGGGTAATAACGTCCTGACAATCAGACCTGGTGAAAACCTGAAACTGCCTCACAGAACAACAGGTCAAAGGGTGATCATATCTGATTTTTGAAGGTATATAATTATGTGGAATCTGCGTCCAGAATACACATCAGTGACTTGTAACAGCATCTTCGTTGGACTGCCACTGTTCTTTCCCGCATGACACCCAGCAGGTTTCACACACACACACTCCTACATGTATCATCTCATGATTGTGCACCAATGGCTACTCCTCAAATAGTCAAACATCCCCAAACTGTTGGCCCTGAGCCACATGAGCCACACCAAGGCTCTGAATCAAAGTGTTCAGGCTTTTTACTTCTGAATGTAAAACAATCCTCAGCAAGCCATGATGAAATCATGACGCACTGCACGTGACTCATGTCAGCAGCGTTCAAACCCCTCCGTCATTCCATTACAGTATGCTTGTGTATGCTTGAAAATAGGGATTCCCATAATGGATGATGACAACCCCCAAAAAAATGAATAATACAATTAACCCCTGACACTCATCAACCGACAGGGAATTTGAAGACTGCTCCATGTGACTGCACCTGAAGTTGCCAGAAAGTCTGGTGAAACATGTTCATACTTGTCGGCAAAGCGTCTGATCCACGGCTCGGGCAGGCCCTTTGCATCGCAAAATTCCTTCAATAAAATCCTCAAGGTTGCTGATGGTTGCTTCATGTGCATTGTTTTGAGGACTCATGTACGCTTGAAACCAAGGATGCGCTACGAACACTGTACAGTAGGTATAATTCTGTATAGTCTGTCATCTTATGCGGAAACATCCCATCTTTAAACACGATTCCACTGAAGCTGTATCAATTCCGATTTGGGCAGCTGCGGCAGCTGTTTGTTTTCTTGTGGGGGATTGTCTGCCATCTGCGACCCCGCCTCATATGTAATTTGACCGTCACCTTAGCTATGTCACTCGCAGCGCAAGTTTCGGATTCTTGGAGCTTCTTGGGACAGCTTGACGGGACAGAAATTCTTATATTAATTCTTATTATTGTTTGATATTGTTGTTACATATTGTTGCTGTGTCTTTTGCCATCGCGTGCCGTGCTATGCCAAAACATTGTTCGCTAGGTGGCTGTTCTGGAGCAAGCGGAACAAAGCTTCACTCTCTGGCAAAGCAACCTCCAGACTTTCCATATAGGCCTGCGGGCCAAAGATACCGCGACTTTTCGGAACTCTCCATGGCAAAATAATTGGGTCTCCTGCGCATTTTGAGACGGAATTCATTGCGGCAGCGCATGGCCTGCACCTTTGAATCGGCCAGAAGCTCCTTCCTCAGCTCGTCAGAGATAGAACTGATAGAGGTGTAGTATACTGTGCTCATGCTGCGCTCATTCACGTACGGACATCTGAATCTAAATCTAGAAACACAAAAGCATCGCAAAACGGTGCAATACGGTGCATAACCTTGGGCTAACTAAACCCCTCTCCCTTACCCTTTGCTGGCATGCCCGATTTGAAACTGACTTTTGTGCAACAACCGAACCAAGCTAATCTGGCGTGAGTTTGCCTGGCAATGTCTACAATCGAAGGAGAAAGGCAAGCACAGAGGCTTCCAAATTCCTCAAAATTTTGAAACAGGACTTTGATTGGAGGAACACTGCAGGTTCGCACTTGAGCAAGACAGTCAAGGAGCATCTCCTCTTCTGAAAGCAATCCGTCCCCACTTTCATCGATCGCCTCAAAAATGCCTGTGGCATGTCAACGGGTGACAAAAGGCATCGAAGAGGATAGCTCCAAGCCAGGGAGCATCATGGAGCATCCTCATCATGTCTTCAGCTAGAACGGCAACTAGTGCGAAAGAGAAAAGAAACGTGTATCAACTGTAAATCGGGGCGGTGCCGCCTTCAAGTTGTTCTACGAACATTGATTTTTTTCGCATTCGCTCTTGGATCATGACCTCCACATCGTTGTTCGCCGCTTCTAAAGTTTGGGACAAAAAAATCGCCGTGATCACACGGATGATCTAAGCAGCAGAATGCAGCGATAAGCGGCGATCAATTCAGCTCTTCCCGTGTTCACGTTGTGAGTCAAGCTTTGCATCCAGGGTTGGATCCACCCGAATCTGAATACATTGCAGTTACTTGTGAGATCTTGTGAGCATGTGCTGCATGACTTACACATCCAAGCCCCAGGCAGCTGAACATATCAAACGGCTACTTGAAACAAACTCAGTTTCCTGCCGCAAAAACAACCACGGTGATGTAGCCCACGAAGAAAAAGACATAAGCATGGCTTACGTTTTCCAACACCTAAGTCAGTCACAAAGCCGCAAGCGTCAAAACGGTGACTTGCCACAACATGCCCTCCAAATAGTCTGATATTAACCTCGATATCCTCAATCCTCCAAGTATCTCAGTGCAGAAAACACAATAAGACCAGTGACAAGTGCATGCCGGTGCCACTGGTCCACCCTTACAGATATTACAGGGTCTTGCAGCGCAAGAAGCTGGTCGAACGTTCGTCGGCCAATTTCCCGCCATGGTGATTTCGTACCTGAATTGCGGCTTGACGTGTTTAAAACTGCACCCAAAGCCACGCCAGTGAGTGATAGTGAAGATAGCGAGTGTACCCATCCACAAAACACTAGGTGCTCGCGAAATGCTGTAAATGCATGTACATGCAGCATTGAAGACAGTCTTTGTTCGATCTGGTACGTACGAGAAATCTCTACTAGTACCAAAAAAACACATCAGGTGGAGCCAACTATCAGGCGAAGATGAAATCAAAGGACTGCTCCAGTTGGTGTGCTGCTGTTCCATTCTTTGCGAGTCGCGAATGTTGTCTTCTCTCTCTCTCTCTCTCTCTTCCTCCCGCTGGTGTCAGCAGCCTGATTTTCAAGTCAAACGAAGCAGTTTCCGTAGTAAGAGAACAGAAGAAGCCCAAGATGATCAAGATGTGCAGGTACCCACCGGAGCTGTGTGAGCATGCCAGCTTGTTCGATTGGTGTGAATGCTTCACCATGTTTCACCGATGGCAGTGGACTCACGGCACTTGTAAGCACGCAGACTGGGTACTGAAGGAAGCACTGGCAAAGAAAGAATAAGATGTTTATCCAAATACTACAGGTTCGGACGGTTCGACAAATCAATTTATCCAAAGCAAAGACCCGGTGCAAAGCTCTGGTCGGTCAACCTGCTCCTACCCTACTCTGGACATATGCAAAAGCATGCAACGACTATGCGGACGACCTCTTTCGTTTGGCATGTTGTGCAGGAGAATGGAAAGGCAGGGAAAGGCAAGCAAAAGACCTGCCATTTCGTGAATTTCAAAGGTAACCGTTGAGAGGGATGCCCACAAGCACCATCAGGCTTTACACTTCCAAATCTTCCAATGTCCAAGTTGCATGGTATAGGTCGCCCTATAGGCAGTGCCGTAGTGGAGCCAAATCCATTTGCGACTTTCAAATGGATGGTTCTCATCCTCGATATATCCTTGGAGCCTTAGTTCTGGATCACTAGAAATGAGTGAAATGTCACTGGGGCTTCTCTCTGGTTTGTTTACTTGCCTGCCTACCTACTGAAAGTCTTTGCACCAATGCAAGGTGAGTGTGTGGGTGTGTATGTCCTCAAGAAGGAGTTGGCACACCTTGGCGGTTTCAACAAGCACGTGCCCTTCAATTGAGCATTATTTTGCGATAAGATGCAGAAAGCCGATAGTGACGCCACCCATGATCCTTAGAATGGCACGTTGGAGACTTTCGATGAGCTTCTGCACGCACCAGCAGTGTGGTTGGTATATAGATTTTATCAAGTCAGATTCCACCGGTGCGGATGCTTGATGGAAAACGATTGTGACAGGTGTGACCCTATCCTCTACTGACCTATTGTCCGAGAAATGCTGACACAGTGAGGCAGCGATGCCATCAGGAAAATCTATGAAAATCTCAAATGCATGTTTGGAAGCACAGTTGGTCCAACTGCATGCGCGCAGGCTCATTCGGGAATCCATCGTGGGGAGTTTTCTTGCAGCCCCCCTACATTCACAAACATCTCAGCTCCAGCACTTGCCCCGCAGCATCAATACTTTCAATATCTTTCAATGAATTGTCAAGGCTGATGAAGTCTGCTGCCTTTGGCCTTGGGCAACTTGCCTTCCGCTCCAAGCGGTCCAAGCAACATGCACAAGGAAAGCAGTGCCATCGCCCATCCCAGAGCTGGAAGAAAGCTCCCGCAAGCTGAGACCAGCAAGCGCAGGCCTCTAAAGAGTTCTAAAGCAAGAACCAAACATATTATCCAGACACGGCAGAACATAGCTAGTATCAAATAGTATCGGATAGTATCAGATAGTATCAAATAGCATCAGTGTTTCTCATGTTGCCCTATGAGAGGGTATGTGAATCACAAGTCCGAAGGCCAGAGGATACTTTGAGCTCTTGTCTGTTCCACTAAGTTTTGCTGTTTAGACGCCTACCAATCTAGACTCTAGACACTTTATAGACAATACATGACAATACTATTCGCCAACATTTGCCAACCATCTCTCCAGGCAATATTGCTGTGGCAGGCCTCGAAACATCTGGGTAACACGGACCAAACGCACCACACGCGCCTTGGTCGGTGCGTTGCGTGCACTCTGCTTGATTGAACTAGTTTCAGTCGTATCTCTCTCTCTCTCCCATTCTCACGCTTGGTCTTCGATAAACAATCATTGGAGTCAAACTCACATACCATGTATTACCATGTGCCTCATCATTCACGCAAATATCTTGCGAATGGGTTTTCCATGGTTTTCCAGAGTCTGACACTGAAGCTGGGTATCCTGGCCAGTTTGAACAATCGAAGCATTCGGAGATAGGACTGCGATTGCATCACGGCCTGGAGCACATACAGGTCGAGACAGCCCGCAAGCACCTGGGAAGGTACTGTACAAGGTGGTATTCTGTGGTGGGATACGGGGTGGGTGCTATGACAGTTCTGTGCTCATAGGACATTTATGTTGCTAATGCTGAGGCTCATGGCAGCGCCAGTTTAAGTTTTCAGTGGGCAGCAGTGACTGCAGTTTTTTCAAGCCGAGGTACTAAAAAGGCATCGAAAACATTGAACCAGTCCATAAAATAAGCCAACCTGAATGCGAAACCAAGGTTTGAAGTGCAGTCATGCTTCGCGCCTTGGAATCGAAACAATACAATACCATACTCATAATACTACGGAAATACCACTGAGCCGTAGCGCATGCTGCCAGAAAAGCTTGTGTCTACCAGAAAAATTCTTCACGGCAGGGTTTAAGGTTGTTTTCGGCCTTGTTTTTCATTGTTCTGCAACCATTGGAAGGTTCACAGCGCAGGCCTTGCCCTCGAAATCCGCCAGCAAAGCTCCAAAGCAAAAAAGGCTGTGAAGAAATGTTCTGTCACCTCATCTTCGAGTTCTGAGCCGAAAGCAGAAATTTCCCTGCTGAAAACGCAGTTGCATGAGCAAAGGTTTCAATTACAATAGAACATAGTAGAACCTTCAGCGACAGAGGAAGCTTGAAGATGCAGTTTCTCCATGTTTCTCCCCGGGGACGCCTGAGGCGCGTGCAAGAAAGAGAGGCCTGGCATCTTCACATTGCATCCCATCAACGAGCCCAATGGAGATACTGGCACGTGCCCCCTCACACTCCAGCTCGAAGGCAATCAGCAGTGCATTCCTGACTCAAAGGCCGCATCTGAGCGGCGGAAAAATGGAAAGGACACTCCATAAAGCTAGAATATGCTAGACTATGCTATTGTGTATATATAATATATAATATATATAATCAACGCATGATGTAGCTGAATAGGGGGTCTTGGCTGAATCCCGGACTTATATAGAATGCTTGACTTGCAAGTCATGTTGCTTGGATTTGCTTGGTTTGGCATAGTTGTGCTGCTAATCTTCTTCACCCCTTAGCGAATGCTGAACTTGTATAAGCTGCACTAACTTTGTGAGAGCTGCCAAAGCCCAGCCATGCCAAGGGTCAAGATCACCCCTGCGCCAGCGAAGGCATCCAATACTGGAGTCTCCTTTTAACGTGGCATAACGTGGCATACCGTGGCAAAAGTGCAAGCCATCCATCCGAGTTCAATTCTTTTGGCACATGGGACGTCAAAAGAATGAATGACTATACTATATATATATATATTAATCTATGTGTTTATTTATTTTTTACATATGTCAATATTCTGCATGAAGAACAACCGAGAAGAAAAAACGATGTTCAATTCACTCACCACATCATTTTCATGCATTTGTGTGAGCGTGCCACAAAAAGGCACCAACTTGGTTCAAGATAGATCAAGATAGTATATAGAAAGCTGTACCAAATATACACATTCCTGGACCACCTGTCCTCCAAAGCACTCTCAAATTCTGTAGTTTGCCTGCGATTCCGGTGCATGGTAAAGTTCGAGCAGATATTTGTACATGTTTATGCCATGTACGCATCTGTATGGTGCTGGGTTGTTGAACGGCTCACGACTGTTGTCGCTTTTTGGCGTTCGGATCTCTGAGATGAAATTGTGAGGGGTGGGGCGGTTTGCTTACTGACTTGAGTGTCATGGTTGAACTTGCTTACTGACTTGAAGCTGGGGCATTTCGCAAAAATTCTATTTTGAAGTGTTTAACCGTTCTTGCCTGGGAACGCTTTGAAACCGTACAAAAGGCGCCAGTCACTAGGAGACCCGGAACCATGCTTATGTCATCCTTTTTTCAGGTGTCTTCATGCACAGTCGTTGTCCAAAGCAAAGTATCTAGAGTCCCTCGAATCTCCCGAAATCGCAGATCTCTCGAGCCATGGTCATAGTGGCCTGGCTTGGGATCTCCAAGACTTGACGTTCATTGATTTTCGCCTTGGTCCACAAGCTCATGACATGTTCACGGCAGAGAACTGGCAGGACCTTGAAAACGAGGTCCTGCGAACAGTTTTAGCCGAAGAGTTGGATTGCCTGTGACAGTGTGAAACAGGCCGCACAGGCGCATGCATTTATTATTTACCTATTATTATCCTATTATTACATCTATTCAAATCTATTCAAATCCATTCAAATCGATTCACTCATCGATCCATCCATCCATCCATCCATCCATCCATCCATCCTTCCTTGTTAAGACACATCATCCCAACAGGGTATACATCACACGATTGTGTGCCCTTGCATTGTGTGGGCTCATCAGGGCCCTTGAGTTAGAATGGGGTTGGCATGGGTTGGCATCGAATGCAAAAGTGGAAAAGCAGTCAACTGCCTGCACGTCAGCCAAACATCAAGTTTGCGTTTGACATCGTTTAACGGTTTAACGTGGTAGCGGAGCAGTGATCCCTGGAACGATAATCAGGGTGAGCCACAAGTAGCAACAACATACAGCATCAGCAGGTAAGGTAAGCATCAACAAGTGCAACAACAGCTGCAGCAACAATGGCAGAAGAACAAGTAAGGACAACGCATCAGTACAAAATCCCAGCACCAACATACGACGGCAACTACTCCCACCTTGAGGAATGGAAGTATCGGTTCACAGCATACTAAGGCCTCATCAATTCAGCATTCCACAGGCTACTTGCACAAGCAGAGACATCACAACAAGCAATCACAGATCAACTACTCACAGATGGAGCTTCAACACCAGCAGAAGGACAAGCGTGGACAAGACTGGCAGCAGAACTCCAGTTCATCTTAGTTTCAACAACCAAAGCCGCAGCAACAGTTTGTCGACAAATTGGCATCAATGCCAACGGCTTTGATCGAAGGTTCTCCATATTTCTCCATCCCTGCTGGGACATACCAAACTCATGAAGCCACCCTTTGAAGAACATCGCTTTGAAGAGACTTTGCATCATGGGAGTTTGAGGTCAACAGGTATGAAAGGGAGAACACGGTCAACATCGGTCAACATCCCAGACTCCATCAAGATAGCAACCTTACTCAACGAGACAAAGGAAGCTCTGCAGCAGCATCTCAAGAGACTATATACAACAATGTCAGGGAGAGCGTCACCGAGCACTACAGGACAACAGCATCATTCTCAAGGATGCAACAAGTCCAAGAGTTTTGACCCGAACACGACCAACCAGCACACAACATCACAAGGTCCAGCACCAATGGACATCGGCGCAGCTTACAACAGCAGTTGGCACAACAAAGGCAAAGGAAAAGGAAAGATGGGCCATCAGAAACGAAAAAAAGATACAACAGCTCCTATAACAAAAAAGGAAAAGGAACGGTCAAGGAAATCCATTCCAGCAATTAAATCCAGCCGAAGGAGCACCAAAAGGAAAAGGAAAGCATCAACCAAACAACAACATGAAAGGCAAAGGAAAATCAAAAGGAAATCAAAAGGAAAAGACGCATGCTATAAATGTGGGCAACAAGGCCACATCATTGCAGAGTTGCAGTGTACAACTTTGGCAACAATGAGCATCAACAGTGGGAGAATACTTCAACGTATGACTGGTATCAAGACCAGAATCAACACCAAGATCAAGGATGGTACAACCAGGATTGGATACATTGAGGATATGATCAAGAATCAAGGATATCAACAACCAGCAACATTGTCTAGTCACCATCAACAACACCGACAGGAGTGGCACAATCCATCAGTGCAATGGAAGACACCCACATAGCAACAGCCACCAGCAACAAATGATAGACAGTGCTGCAGCAACCCATCTTTGTCCACCATGGTTTGGAACATCGCTTCTTCCACTCCACGCGCATCATTTTGTGGGAAGTGTGGTCTGTGTGTGTGCGCATGTCTTGCTGGCTTGTTGTGGGCTTTGCAGCTTAGCAACTTACATTCTCAGCAGACTTCACATCTCTCTCAGGGATTTGCCTGTTGCGTGTGCACCTCAAACTCTGCAGCCAAAGAACTTCGGAAGAGTAAGAGAAGCTGCTTCCTCCGATGATTGGAAAGTCTCGTTTACCTTGACCTGCAAGTCTGTAGCATGCTGCAAGCATTGAACGGATAAGAAATGGAGAGAAGTGCAAACATTGCGGGCATGCAAATTTGGAGTGGCAAACTGTTCTCGCAAGTTTCAAGGCGCATTGGTTCCGAACACTTGTTTCCAATCTGAGGTATTGGGTCCTTTCGAAACAAAAACTATATATTATATGTATATATATATATAAATACGCCATGCCAATGGCACCTCTCCCACATCCAACATTGTAACTGGAATTTCCTTCTGCTCCTGGTGCAGGGGAGGGCTGCGACATGTCCCTTGTGCAAACTGAATTTGTCCTTTTGTGTTGCAATTCAAATAAATTCAATATTTTAATAGCGACAGAGGGAAACAACTTCCAAGTTCATGTCAATGAAATGTAATTACACGCCGCAAATGATTGGCCACATCAGCACAAACAAACACACGCAGGAGATCACAGGAGTCCACAGAGTGATCTTCTCCGGTTTCATCTTTCACAGCAGGTTGCGGTCCTCTTCCATGGGGAGTGTTTCAAAGACTGCAACACCAGAATCGTTGCTGCCGTCCGAAAAGACACTCGCCTGAAACAAAGCTGAGAACCACACAGTCAATCACAGTCTTGATTAGAAAGCTGACAACGTAGGAACAAATACAAAAAGTGGAAATCTGGAGGTGGGGCACATGTAGGCGACAGCCCTCCTCGCCTTGGCGTTATTCCCAGGGCTCTTGAGACCCTGTGGCGGGTCCTTAGTGTATGACTGCAAATTGCAAGGTCTGTCTTGAGATGAATGATCTCCATGCCATTACCGTGTGGATGTCACGGTGCAAGTTACATCAACGTAAGTACTGAGGTTAGCCTGAGTGAATACCAGTAGTACCGCACAAGGCGGTGGCGGAAGTTTCAAAAATAGGAAACCTATAGGAGAGATTGATTGCTGTGAATCACGGATGGCAGAGCGAATCCACTGATTGACCGAAAGGTGGTTGGAGTTGTGTTTGCTGGAATGGTTGCAATGGTTGCAGTGGTCACCTCACCCACAACTGCTGGATGTAGTGTGATGTACTGCAACTGTAGGTGTAGTTGTAGCGTAGTGGAGTTGTAGTTGTGGTGTAATGTAATTAGTGTAGTGTAGTTGCAGTCATATAGTTGTAGCTGTAGTTGTTTTGTAGTTGTAGTTGTGGTTGTTGTAGTTGTAGTAGTTGTTGTTGTTGTAGTTGTAGCTGTAGTTGTTGTGTGGTTGTAGTAGTTGTTGTGTTGTGTAGTTGTAGTTGTAGTTGTAGTTGTAGTTGTAGTTGTAGTTGTAGTTGTAGTAGTACTAGTACTAGTACTAGTACTAGTACTAGTACTAGTACTAGTACTAAGTACTAAGTACTAAGTACTAGTAGTAGTAGTAGTAGTAGTAGTAGTTCCAGGATGTTGGTTCGGTGATGTGTCCCAGATTTTCAGGTTTCCAAATTATCATCTATTTTTTTTTGGGTAACGACTACTGGTTGGTGATTTCAAACATGGCTTTTATTTTCCATTTCATATATGGGATAATCATCTTCCCATTGACGAACTCCATCATTTTTCAAGATGGTTAGCCAGCACCACCAATCAGTGTAGAAATGTAGGGGCACCACTTCATCCCATGTTTTGCAGCTAAATTCCATGTACCCTCTGGTAAAGTAACAGTTTGCTATTGAAAATGGACATTTATAGTGATTTTTCCCAATAAAAATTGTGATTTTCCCATAGTTAAGTTAGTTTACCAGAGGGTAAATCCCCATTGTTCCATCTTTTTCGGAGGCTCCTCCCACAGCGCCCGGAACTTCCCGAGGCTTTCAGAGACCTAGTAGTAGTAGTAGTTGTTGTTGTTGTTGTTGTTGTAGTTGTAGTTGTTGTTGTTGCTGTAGTAGTAGTAGTAGTAGTAGTA